AAATTATTTCAATCTAAATCATTTACCAGTGCTGACTTTTGGGTTTAGTTCAACATACCATTAGGGTATAAGGTGATAGCTCCCTGTTGCTGATATATTTTTGGAGTTGTTTTCAAGCTCCAAAGCAGATACTTTGTTATTTTAAATTCAGTTCATGAGGGAAAAAAAAAAAAAAAAAGATCTGAACAAATATCAGAATTGCAAACTCAGTTTAAATGAAGACTTGGATTTTATAGGGCAGTTCGTAGACAGACTTGGGAACCATATTTCTCAACAGAATGTATTGGTTATCCCTCCCAAAAAAAGAGGTGGCATATTCCTTCCTTGCTGTTTTATGTCATACCGTGTAGGCAGCATGTTCCAGGGATCATCAAACATTCCTTACCAATTGTGTCCAATGCGAATTGAGAACCTGCATTTCCCATAAAAATACAATTTAAAGATAGCATTTGACGTGTGGATCTGTAAGAGAATTTGCTAAAGGCAATGCAGTATCATGGAACAGAAACAAGGACAAACAGAAGCTGTTGTGCGGTTGATCCCTCCATCTCTCTCTCTGCCTATGTGTGGTGGTCTTGCTGAAGACGAGATGCAGTATTCATCGTGTGCAAGTCTAGCGAAGCTGTTTTGTTTCTTGGCAAAGTGACTGAGTTCCAAGGAACTCTGTGGCTGAACAAGAAAGTTGAGACAAGTCTGTGATCTCCTGAAAAATCGTCACTGCTGCCAAGGGGGATTTCATATCTATTTGTAGACTAGGATCAATACTCAGGCCAAATTTCCCAGTTCTTCTACAAAACTGTTTGCCTCACGCAATGCACATATCTGAAAAATGCAGAGTCTGCTGTGAGTTTTCTAAAACTGCGCTCTGTGTAAACAGCAGCTATTCAGATACTTCCAGACCTTGTTTAGTTGCTTGCACCTGTAAAATATAGAACTTTTGTGTGCACACAACTTTCTTCACACTTGAGAATTTTATGGTTTAAATTATGCTCAGAGATCCTTTCTTGTAATTAATAAATCAGAACATGGACAGTAGAGTGCCCTGACAAGCTGCATGGACTTCACTCTGTGACCAACAGTGAATCCCCCCAAAAGGGCTGTTGATCTTAATAGCATTTTGTTTGATTTCTGTCATTACGGACAAACTTATAACCAGTTTGTAAAGTCATTGCATTTTTAGCTATGAACACTTACTTAGGACTATGTTATTCTTTCTAGTCTCTTTTTGCACTAACTGTAGTGTGTTAAGGACTTCCTGAAAAGTCTTTGCTGCTGGGGCCAAGGGGGGTTGCAGTCTGTTGGCAATGATGTCTTCTCAGAAAATTGAATATAAATAGAAATGCAAGGGTGTGACATTGCAGCTCTTCAGAAAAAGCAGGGCATACAGGACAGCAAAGAGATGAGACGCCAACACATAGACCTCTGAGGGGAGCAATGCTGCTGGAGATGAGAGGATGTGGTGGGAGGAGAGATTTAGGTGGTAAGTAGTGGGGGGAGAGCTAAGAAATTCTTTGAATGTATTGACTGGCAGCTTGATTTCTTCATGAGATAAGAGATGAGGTAGCAGAGGGACATGAAGAAGGGAGCGATTTGATCAAATGTTCAGATAGGGGTCTTGGCAACTGCACTTCATCTCCTGTAAACATGGTATGGTGCGGTGCATGGTAGGAGGTCTGATGGGAAGATGCTGCGAGGGTCAAGGCAAGAGAGAAACCACGAGCAAACAAGATTTGGCTCTGTGTGTGGGAGAACTGGACAGGCTGACGTGTTGTGGAAGAGAAGGTGCAGATTTGATACAACACATGTAGAAAGATGCACACAGTTGTAAGAAAGCAATCACAGATTTGGGGCTGAAGTGGTAGAGAATCTGGTAGTTCTCTAGCAGGATGTAGCAGACGAGATCAGCCATTCTGAGTTTTCCATAGTGCATTCAAACTGATGATGGGCAAGCTAAGATATTGGAAAGGGAAAAAAATAAGGATGACCGTAAGGAAGGAAACAAGTCAACACAGCCAGATTTGGGTGCCATTGGTATAAGCACAGGAGCTGATTTCAGTGAGAGCTGCTAACTATTTCTGTTTTGCAATACCTTTATCAACTGGTAACTTCACTGTTGAACTGGGGACTCTTCACTGTTCACTATTTTCTACTGTTAGGTAAGAAATACACCACTTGCCTAGGACCAAGTTGGCTGCAGAGCTGGAAGACGTGAGGACAAGTCTGTAGAGCTCTACACACAAACTACACAGCCTTTCTGAAGGGGGTCCTTGGGTGAGCTGGAACACCCTGCTAACACAGGTCTCTCATTTCTGGAACCTGACCTTGTATGATGGTGCAGTGGTACACTGAGCGTATGAGCACGCTCCTTTTGTTCAAGGCTTTTGGCACCATTATATATTGCATGGTACAGAAATTCTGTATCCTTAATAGAAAGGAATTAAATATAACTAAGCCCTAAGTATCTTAAAACTACTGTAAGTCTATCTGTTAAGATAAGGAGACAAAGCCTGATGAATTTTTTAGGTATCCTACATCTTCTCTGCTTAAGTGCTGTTATAAAGCCTGCTACCATGTATCCTTTGACACTTTTCCATCCATGTGCAGGAAAATCTGAAATATTTTAAATATTTCAGATTTAAGTCTGAGCTGCTGTGTGCACTAAATACTCCTCTGTGCCGGGCAAGCTGAGGTTACAGATAAAATTGTTCTTATCAACTATGGCCTCAGTGGGCTCCTTTTTTCTTTTAATCACCTTTGTTCTTCCTTTGCTACCTCCTGCAAACTGCTCTATTTCTGCTCTGAAAAATGTTATTTTAGGGATTGGATTTTTTCTTAGGGGATTTACCCAGATTATGCAGTTCACACTTTTGTTACTGCAGACTCTGGAAATCTCCCCACCCGCACATCCTGCTCTGATACCAATGCTTATGTCCTGAAGGTGGCAGAGAAATTAAAAAAGTTAAATATAGAGAGTTTTTGTTTTTGTAAAAAAAAAAAAACCAACCAGACCGGAAGGCTGCAACTATATCTTCACTCTCATAAAACGACCTGTATACTTCTCTCATGTGTAATATTTGGACTGGGTTTACTGCCTGGGTGCCAGCTTTTCCTTTCACCAGCTGTTCAATGTGATGATTATCATTCAACTTCCAAGCTTCCAGAATTCAACCCATTTTCCTACACAGCTTTTGTAGAGCGTGAGAAACACTATTTAGGTTAGTGATCTGTCTTGCTTCTTCGGCAGTTCATTATCACCCCAATAAACATGTCTCCAGTAGACCCAAGGAACAAGACCGAAAGCTGCAGAAAAAGGGAAGAATTAGCCCAGTCTTTATGAGCCAGATGCATCCAGCTTTCCTCTAGGTCTTACAACTGCACCTTTGAATCCACTCACACTGCTCCCAGTGACCAAGGGAGTTGCTCTTGTAGAACCATAGCAAGATCCTTCTGTGAACTGTTTGGGAGCCCTGGGAGAGTAGATGCCTTGTTCTGAGCATCTGCTAGGAGGATGTAGTGAATTATCCATGATTTGAATGCCTGAAGCGAATCACTCCCAGGCTTACTGACATTGGCAGTAACATAGAGAACATGTTTTATACTGCTGAACTTGCACAGGGTTAGGACAGGCTCTTCCGTGATGGAAGGTACAAATAATCCTTTGCTCAGCTGTTCTCTGTAAGGCAAAAATACAGAAAGGAAAACCCAGTTTCATCAGGTCATACTCAAACTGGGAATTTTTTCCAGCTCCTTTTATTAGTGCTTGCCTGTCGTGGTTCCTATCTGTTACTATTTTCTTCTGAAGACAAAGGCGTGACTTAGACTGCTGGCAAAACCGCAGTGCTGCAAATCCCGCAGTTTATCCTGGCAATATGACACGTTTACAGCTACCCAGGTTGCTGATGGCTGGATAGGGATTACTTCTTCATGCCATGCAGACATGTTTTT